TAACCATTCGAAGGTCTACCAATTTATTCCATCAAATTGGTTTTTTGCTTTGAACTACTATTGGTAAACAGTTTGTTAACAAGCCGATTACGGGTATAATTTCATTCGAGACAGTTTACTAATTTCGTGGTTTTTTCGTGTTGCTAGCAGTTGATGCAAAGATGTGCTAACTCACTGAGCAGTACGATATAATTTTTTCAGCCTGGGTTTAGGGACTTTTTATGCTGTAAATCTTAAAATCTAGTGCTCCTCCCAGAAAAAAATCATCTCGAAACAAAGTACCATTGACTATTCTGAAACAGCCAAGCGCAGCCGGGTAATGTCCTTACTGATCAAATATTCGAAATCATATCTTACATGGCGATTAATATTCAACCGTTCGAGTTTTTACTACAACGACTATTCGACATTTGTTTATTTTATTCAAAAATTTTTTTCTCGATTTATTCAAAAAAAATTTCCGATATTTTAACTATACTCCCTATAAAGCGTTTCAAACCGTTTGTAGACTTAATGGTCTCGGAGAATATCAATATGATAGAGTGTCCTCTGCTCCAAGGGAATCTAACAATAATAGTTATTGTCTACATTCCATTTAGTCTATTAATGGAAACGTTTGGACTATTAGAGATTAATTTGGCTATGAAGAATTTTATATGTTGGGTCACGCTTTTGCAGCTTTGTTCTTGCTAGAATGCAAAAGTTTCTTTTCTCCCTTTCAAAACTTAGAGAGACTTATTTTATAAATAGAATTATGATCAAATAAAGTATCCAAATCATTTTCAACTTGACAGTCTAGACGGCACGAATGATCGAATTAGTCAGTTGTCCCCATGCAACATACATTCTTTGAGGCGTCAAAAATCTTATTCCGTCTAATAAAAAGGCAATGCATTGATGTGAGTTATTGATGAACCATACAAAAAGTCTCAAGTTTGAGGGAAATGGTACAAGTTTTTTTTTGCGCCGCAACTTCTATGAAATTAAATGTTATATTACAAGTGGAAATTCAATAAATGGTAGAAAAAATAGCTGTATTGCTCT